AGGCCCCAACATGAAAATTTACAGAACCGGATAAAAAAGAATAATATCTAAGTATAGATATTGAATAAAATCGATCGTGTATAACGGATGTTTTTACCAACCTGAAAAACATATAGTAGCATTAGTAGGAGAATTGCTGGAATATCTTGATACGAAGTAAAACAGGTGCACAACTTTTTGAACCTAGATGCTAACATTATAAGTGATGCGCAATGTCCGGTGAGCCACGATAAAATGGCAAAACACTCTCCAAATCGCCCGCTGTTTCGCCCCAATGACCTTGAACCGAGTAATTTATTGCAACCAGCCGGTATTTTAATTCCTCCAGGCTGATTGAATGTCTGTGATGCTGTTTGATTTTCAGGTGTTCTCGAAATTATGTGGTCCGCTTCTGTGTGGAATTCACGAAGCCTTTGTAAAGAACGTAAGCTAAGCTTTCTCTAACTTTTAGAATACACTTTGGTTTGCTCCTTGCTTTGTGACTGTTTTCCTGAAAATTAGTTGCTTTGTAGCAGTGTAGAGCTACTTCTTTTTGTTGAAGACTTAACCATGTCCAAAAAGTGAGACAGAATAAATGGGAATTCCGAAATATTTCTGCAAACTCGAGTTTTGCACAAATCACTGGTTTACACGAAGAAAAGTTGAATAACTAATGTGTTTGTAAGGCAAGTGAAATGCCACTGAACTCTAGACAAATCATCCGGCAGTTGATCACTGGATGACGGACAGTTCGTCGATCTCCGTCAACGACAAAACAGAAAAAGTGAACAAACGAACAGAATTCAAAATGCTCTACTTTGCTTTACAGTCAATTAGATAGATTCAAATGGTTCAAATGGTTGTGGACGGAATAGAAGAAGCTTTCGCCTAACAGGCTACCGTGTCTAGTAGCAGGGGATCACGAAATCCTCCAGGCAGGAACCTAGGTATGTTAACAATAAAAGAGGAAAAGAAATGGGTGAATCACTGGTAACGTTGAAGCGCATTTTTGGACAGTTTGACGGACGAACTTTCCATACAATCTTCAATAGTTTCATCCGTCCCCATTTAGAGTACGGAAACATAGTACTCCCCCCCTCACTCCAAAAGGACAAGGTCACTTCGGAGCGTATCCAACGGCGAGCCACGAAATCAGTTCGATGACTCAAATCTAAGCCTTACGAAGAACGCCTCCGTTCACTAGACCTTTACCCACTAGAATATAGGCGTCTTAGAGGTGATTTACTAATGGCTTACAGCATTCTTAACACTTCTGGACATCCTCTTAAACACCTACTTAAGCTTAGTTCGAATAATAACCTAAGGGGTAACACCCAGAAACTGGAAACACAACATAGCAAGACGGAATGTAGACACAACTTCTACTCCTTAAGAGTTGTCAAAAGCTGGAATTCGCTGCCGGTCGAGCTAGTCCAAGCGACTTCTCAGGAGTCCTTCAAGAGGCAACTTGACCTATTCTTAAGGACCAAGGACAGCATCACATTATGATTTACCAATTTCTTCTCCTTTTTTATTGTTAACATACCTAGGTTCCTGCCTGGAGGATTTGGTGATCCCATGCTACTAGACACGGAAGCCTGTTAAGCGAAAGCTTCTTCTATTCCGTCCACAACCATTTGAGTTAGGTGAGGGTTAGGGTTAGAGTTAGGTTAGGGTTAGGGTAAGGTGAGGGTTAAGGTTAGGGTTAGGATGCTAACATACGAGTTTTTAAATCATGTTAAAGAAGAATATCCACTGTAATTTATTACTTTCTTTTAATATATTTCTACTTTATGCTGTCTTCTGATTGACTAATAATTGAAATTGCTCAAACGCTTCTGATTGGCTCGTCCCTAAATTAGAGCCTCGCCGTCCTATCTGTTGTAACCTCTCATTAATCACCTACTCTCTAAAATCCGCTGTGAACCGATCGTATGTTAGCAGCGCGTGTTGAACTTGGCTCCGTGACCTTGAAATTGCTCAAACGCTTCTGATTGCCTCGTCCCTAAATTAGAGTCTCGCCTAAATACGTTAAAAAAATACTCAGAAAATAGTGCCAATGGCATTTTTTTAATGATTTTAGCCATCGTATGAGGCTTCATGTGCCGAAATCTTCATAGAAATATGTGTATTTCACTTAAATAGTCGAATTTAGATTGCCCAATTACAACTGTTAGGGTATCTTGTAGTTACCTTTAACTCGAATTTTTGTGGCTTGGAAAGGCAATATATTAATCACAATCATTCAATCAGAGAGTGACAAAAAACGTCTCTACACAGTTACTTAAGGTCAAATACCTTGCCCTCCTAAGTAATGAAACTCTTGTTTACGGTGAAAACAGGCATTTCAGCCCCTTGGTCCTTTCAGCTAAATAAAAGTACAGACAGATTTTGCCCATGGTCAGCAAATGTGTACGCTGACAAAATTCAGTCGATTTGTGTAACAAAAATAGCTTATATGTACATATTTTAGGCCCCAACATGAAAATTTACAGAACCGGATAAAAAAGAATAATATCTAAGTATAGATATTGAATAAAATCGATCGTGTATAACGGATGTTTTTACCAACCTGAAAAACATATAGTAGCATTAGTAGGAGAATTGCTGGAATATCTTGATACGAAGTAAAACAGGTGCACAACTTTTTGAACCTAGATGCTAACATTATAAGTGATGCGCAATGTCCGGTGAGCCACGATAAAATGGCAAAACACTCTCCAAATCGCCCGCTGTTTCGCCCCAATGACCTTGAACCGAGTAATTTATTGCAACCAGCCGGTATTTTAATTCCTCCAGGCTGATTGAATGTCTGTGATGCTGTTTGATTTTCAGGTGTTCTCGAAATTATGTGGTCCGCTTCTGTGTGGAATTCACGAAGCCTTTGTAAAGAACGTAAGCTAAGCTTTCTCTAACTTTTAGAATACACTTTGGTTTGCTCCTTGCTTTGTGACTGTTTTCCTGAAAATTAGTTGCTTTGTAGCAGTGTAGAGCTACTTCTTTTTGTTGAAGACTTAACCATGTCCAAAAAGTGAGACAGAATAAATGGGAATTCCGAAATATTTCTGCAAACTCGAGTTTTGCACAAATCACTGGTTTACACGAAGAAAAGTTGAATAACTAATGTGTTTGTAAGGCAAGTGAAATGCCACTGAACTCTAGACAAATCATCCGGCAGTTGATCACTGGATGACGGACAGTTCGTCGATCTCCGTCAACGACAAAACAGAAAAAGTGAACAAACGAACAGAATTCAAAATGCTCTACTTTGCTTTACAGTCAATTAGATAGATTCAAATGGTTCAAATGGTTGTGGACGGAATAGAAGAAGCTTTCGCCTAACAGGCTACCGTGTCTAGTAGCAGGGGATCACGAAATCCTCCAGGCAGGAACCTAGGTATGTTAACAATAAAAGAGGAAAAGAAATGGGTGAATCACTGGTAACGTTGAAGCGCATTTTTGGACAGTTTGACGGACGAACTTTCCATACAATCTTCAATAGTTTCATCCGTCCCCATTTAGAGTACGGAAACATAGTACTCCCCCCCTCACTCCAAAAGGACAAGGTCACTTCGGAGCGTATCCAACGGCGAGCCACGAAATCAGTTCGATGACTCAAATCTAAGCCTTACGAAGAACGCCTCCGTTCACTAGACCTTTACCCACTAGAATATAGGCGTCTTAGAGGTGATTTACTAATGGCTTACAGCATTCTTAACACTTCTGGACATCCTCTTAAACACCTACTTAAGCTTAGTTCGAATAATAACCTAAGGGGTAACACCCAGAAACTGGAAACACAACATAGCAAGACGGAATGTAGACGCAACTTCTACTCCTTAAGAGTTGTCAAAAGCTGGAATTCGCTGCCGGTCGAGCTAGTCCAAGCGACTTCTCAGGAGTCCTTCAAGAGGCAACTTGACCTATTCTTAAGGACCAAGGACAGCATCACATTATGATTTACCAATTTCTTCTCCTTTTTTATTGTTAACATACCTAGGTTCCTGCCTGGAGGATTTGGTGATCCCATGCTACTAGACACGGAAGCCTGTTAAGCGAAAGCTTCTTCTATTCCGTCCACAACCATTTGAGTTAGGTGAGGGTTAGGGTTAGAGTTAGGTTGGGGTTAGGGTAAGGTGAGGGTTAAGGTTAGGGTTAGGATGCTAACATACGAGTTTTTAAATCATGTTAAAGAAGAATATCCACTGTAATTTATTACTTTCTTTTAATATATTTCTACTTTATGCTGTCTTCTGATTGACTAATAATTGAAATTGCTCAAACGCTTCTGATTGGCTCGTCCCTAAATTAGAGCCTCGCCGTCCTATCTGTTGTAACCTCTCATTAATCACCTACTCTCTAAAATCCGCTGTGAACCGATCGTATGTTAGCAGCGCGTGTTGAACTTGGCTCCGTGACCTTGAAATTGCTCAAACGCTTCTGATTGGCTCGTCCCTAAATTAGAGTCTCGCCTAAATACGTTAAAAAAATACTCAGAAAATAGTGCCAATGGCATTTTTTAATGGTTTTAGCCATCGTATGAGGCTTCATGTGCCGAAATCTTCATAGAAATATGTGTATTTCACTTAAATAGTCGAATTTAGATTGCCCAATTACAACTGTTAGGGTATCTTGTAGTTACCTTTAACTCGAATTTTTGTGGCTTGGAAAGGCAATATATTAATCACAATCATTCAATCAGAGAGTGACAAAAAACGTCTCTACACAGTTACTTAAGGTCAAATACCTTGCCCTCCTAAGTAATGAAACTCTTGTTTACGGTGAAAACAGGCATTTCAGCCCCTTGGTCCTTTCAGCTAAATAAAAGTACAGACAGATTTTGCCCATGGTCAGCAAATGTGTACGCTGACAAAATTCAGTCGATTTGTGTAACAAAAATAGCTTATATGTACATATTTTAGGCCCCAACATGAAAATTTACAGAACCGGATAAAAAAGAATAATATCTAAGTATAGATATTGAATAAAATCGATCGTGTATAACGGATGTTTTTACCAACCTGAAAAACATATAGTAGCATTAGTAGGAGAATTGCTGGAATATCTTGATACGAAGTAAAACAGGTGCACAACTTTTTGAACCTAGATGCTAACATTATAAGTGATGCGCAATGTCCGGTGAGCCACGATAAAATGGCAAAACACTCTCCAAATCGCCCGCTGTTTCGCCCCAATGACCTTGAACCGAGTAATTTATTGCAACCAGCCGGTATTTTAATTCCTCCAGGCTGATTGAATGTCTGTGATGCTGTTTGATTTTCAGGTGTTCTCGAAATTATGTGGTCCGCTTCTGTGTGGAATTCACGAAGCCTTTGTAAAGAACGTAAGCTAAGCTTTCTCTAACTTTTAGAATACACTTTGGTTTGCTCCTTGCTTTGTGACTGTTTTCCTGAAAATTAGTTGCTTTGTAGCAGTGTAGAGCTACTTCTTTTTGTTGAAGACTTAACCATGTCCAAAAAGTGAGACAGAATAAATGGGAATTCCGAAATATTTCTGCAAACTCGAGTTTTGCACAAATCACTGGTTTACACGAAGAAAAGTTGAATAACTAATGTGTTTGTAAGGCAAGTGAAATGCCACTGAACTCTAGACAAATCATCCGACAGTTGATCACTGGATGACGGACAGTTCGTCGATCTCCGTCAACGACAAAACAGAAAAAGTGAACAAACGAACAGAATTCAAAATGTTCTACTTTGCTTTACAGTCAATTAGATAGATTCAAATGGTTCAAATGGTTGTGGACGGAATAGAAGAAGCTTTCGCCTAACAGGCTACCGTGTCTAGTAGCAGGGGATCACGAAATCCTCCAGGCAGGAACCTAGGTATGTTAACAATAAAAGAGGAAAAGAAATGGGTGAATCACTGGTAACGTTGAAGCGCATTTTTGGACAGTTTGACGGACGAACTTTCCATACAATCTTCAATAGTTTCATCCGTCCCCATTTAGAGTACGGAAACATAGTACTCCCCCCCTCACTCCAAAAGGACAAGGTCACTTCGGAGCGTATCCAACGGCGAGCCACGAAATCAGTTCGATGACTCAAATCTAAGCCTTACGAAGAACGCCTCCGTTCACTAGACCTTTACCCACTAGAATATAGGCGTCTTAGAGGTGATTTACTAAAGGCTTATAGCATTCTTAACACTTCTGGACATCCTCTTAAACACCTACTTAAGCTTAGTTCGAATAATAACCTAAGGGGTAACACCCAGAAACTGGAAACACAACATAGCAAGACGGAATGTAGACACAACTTCTACTCCTTAAGAGTTGTCAAAAGCTGGAATTCGCTGCCGGTCGAGCTAGTCCAAGCGACTTCTCAGGAGTCCTTCAAGAGGCAACTTGACCTATTCTTAAGGACCAAGGACAGCATCACATTATGATTTACCAATTTCTTCTCCTTTTTTATTGTTAACATACCTAGGTTCCTGCCTGGAGGATTTGGTGATCCCATGCTACTAGACACGGAAGCCTGTTAAGCGAAAGCTTCTTCTATTCCGTCCACAACCATTTGAGTTAGGTGAGGGTTAGGGTTAGAGTTAGGTTAGGGTTAGGGTAAGGTGAGGGTTAAGGTTAGGGTTAGGATGCTAACATACGAGTTTTTAAATCATGTTAAAGAAGAATATCCACTGTAATTTATTACTTTCTTTTAATATATTTCTACTTTATGCTGTCTTCTGATTGACTAATAATTGAAATTGCTCAAACGCTTCTGATTGGCTCGTCCCTAAATTAGAGCCTCGCCGTCCTATCTGTTGTAACCTCTCATTAATCACCTACTCTCTAAAATCCGCTGTGAACCGATCGTATGTTAGCAGCGCGTGTTGAACTTGGCTCCGTGACCTTGAAATTGCTCAAACGCTTCTGATTGCCTCGTCCCTAAATTAGAGTCTCGCCTAAATACGTTAAAAAAATACTCAGAAAATAGTGCCAATGGCATTTTTTTAATGGTTTTAGCCATCGTATGAGGCTTCATGTGCCGAAATCTTCATAGAAATATGTGTATTTCACTTAAATAGTCGAATTTAGATTGCCCAATTACAACTGTTAGGGTATCTTGTAGTTACCTTTAACTCGAATTTTTGTGGCTTGGAAAGGCAATATATTAATCACAATCATTCAATCAGAGAGTGACAACAAACGTCTCTACACAGTTACTTAAGGTCAAATACCTTGCCCTCCTAAGTAATGAAACTCTTGTTTACGGTGAAAACAGGCATTTCAGCCCCTTGGTCCTTTCAGCTAAATAAAAGTACAGACAGATTTTGCCCATGGTCAGCAAATGTGTACGCTGACAAAATTCAGTCGATTTGTGTAACAAAAATAGCTTATATGTACATATTTTAGGCCCCAACATGAAAATTTACAGAACCGGATAAAAAAGAATAATATCTAAGTATAGATATTGAATAAAATCGATCGTGTATAACGGATGTTTTTACCAACCTGAAAAACATATAGTAGCATTAGTAGGAGAATTGCTGGAATATCTTGATACGAAGTAAAACAGGTGCACAACTTTTTGAACCTAGATGCTAACATTATAAGTGATGCGCAATGTCCGGTGAGCCACGATAAAATGGCAAAACACTCTCCAAATCGCCCGCTGTTTCGCCCCAATGACCTTGAACCGAGTAATTTATTGCAACCAGCCGGTATTTTAATTCCTCCAGGCTGATTGAATGTCTGTGATGCTGTTTGATTTTCAGGTGTTCTCGAAATTATGTGGTCCGCTTCTGTGTGGAATTCACGAAGCCTTTGTAAAGAACGTAAGCTAAGCTTTCTCTAACTTTTAGAATACACTTTGGTTTGCTCCTTGCTTTGTGACTGTTTTCCTGAAAATTAGTTGCTTTGTAGCAGTGTAGAGCTACTTCTTTTTGTTGAAGACTTAACCATGTCCAAAAAGTGAGACAGAATAAATGGGAATTCCGAAATATTTCTGCAAACTCGAGTTTTGCACAAATCACTGGTTTACACGAAGAAAAGTTGAATAACTAATGTGTTTGTAAGGCAAGTGAAATGCCACTGAACTCTAGACAAATCATCCGGCAGTTGATCACTGGATGACGGACAGTTCGTCGATCTCCGTCAACGACAAAACAGAAAAAGTGAACAAACGAACAGAATTCAAAATGTTCTACTTTGCTTTACAGTCAATTAGATAGATTCAAATGGTTCAAATGGTTGTGGACGGAATAGAAGAAGCTTTCGCCTAACAGGCTACCGTGTCTAGTAGCAGGGGATCACGAAATCCTCCAGGCAGGAACCTAGGTATGTTAACAATAAAAGAGGAAAAGAAATGGGTGAATCACTGGTAACGTTGAAGCGCATTTTTGGACAGTTTGACGGACGAACTTTCCATACAATCTTCAATAGTTTCATCCGTCCCCATTTAGAGTACGGAAACATAGTACTCCCCCCCTCACTCCAAAAGGACAAGGTCACTTTGGAGCGTATCCAACGGCGAGCCACGAAATCAGTTCGATGACTCAAATCTAAGCCTTACGAAGAACGCCTCCGTTCACTAGACCTTTACCCACTAGAATATAGGCGTCTTAGAGGTGATTTACTAATGGCTTATAGCATTCTTAACACTTCTGGACATCCTCTTAAACACCTACTTAAGCTTAGTTCGAATAATAACCTAAGGGGTAACACCCAGAAACTGGAAACACAACATAGCAAGACGGAATGTAGACACAACTTCTACTCCTTAAGAGTTGTCAAAAGCTGGAATTCGCTGCCGGTCGAGCTAGTCCAAGCGACTTCTCAGGAGTCCTTCAAGAGGCAACTTGACCTATTCTTAAGGACCAAGGACAGCATCACATTATGATTTACCAATTTCTTCTCCTTTTTTATTGTTAACATACCTAGGTTCCTGCCTGGAGGATTTGGTGATCCCATGCTACTAGACACGGAAGCCTGTTAAGCGAAAGCTTCTTCTATTCCGTCCACAACCATTTGAGTTAGGTGAGGGTTAGGGTTAGAGTTAGGTTGGGGTTAGGGTAAGGTGAGGGTTAAGGTTAGGGTTAGGATGCTAACATACGAGTTTTTAAATCATGTTAAAGAAGAATATCCACTGTAATTTATTACTTTCTTTTAATATATTTCTACTTTATGCTGTCTTCTGATTGACTAATAATTGAAATTGCTCAAACGCTTCTGATTGGCTCGTCCCTAAATTAGAGCCTCGCCGTCCTATCTGTTGTAACCTCTCATTAATCACCTACTCTCTAAAATCCGCTGTGAACCGATCGTATGTTAGCAGCGCGTGTTGAACTTGGCTCCGTGACCTTGAAATTGCTCAAACGCTTCTGATTGCCTCGTCCCTAAATTAGAGTCTCGCCTAAATACGTTAAAAAAATACTCAGAAAATAGTGCCAATGGCATTTTTTTAATGATTTTAGCCATCGTATGAGGCTTCATGTGCCGAAATCTTCATAGAAATATGTGTATTTCACTTAAATAGTCGAATTTAGATTGCCCAATTACAACTGTTAGGGTATCTTGTAGTTACCTTTAACTCGAATTTTTGTGGCTTGGAAAGGCAATATATTAACCACAATCATTCAATCAGAGAGTGACAACAAACGTCTCTACACAGTTACTTAAGGTCAAATACCTTGCCCTCCTAAGTAATGAAACTCTTGTTTACGGTGAAAACAGGCATTTCAGCCCCTTGGTCCTTTCAGCTAAATAAAAGTACAGACAGATTTTGCCCATGGTCAGCAAATGTGTACGCTGACAAAATTCAGTCGATTTGTGTAACAAAAATAGCTTATATGTACATATTTTAGGCCCCAACATGAAAATTTACAGAACCGGATAAAAAAGAATAATATCTAAGTATAGATATTGAATAAAATCGATCGTGTATAACGGATGTTTTTACCAACCTGAAAAACATATAGTAGCATTAGTAGGAGAATTGCTGGAATATCTTGATACGAAGTAAAACAGGTGCACAACTTTTTGAACCTAGATGCTAACATTATAAGTGATGCGCAATGTCCGGTGAGCCACGATAAAATGGCAAAACACTCTCCAAATCGCCCGCTGTTTCGCCCCAATGACCTTGAACCGAGTAATTTATTGCAACCAGCCGGTATTTTAATTCCTCCAGGCTGATTGAATGTCTGTGATGCTGTTTGATTTTCAGGTGTTCTCG